ACACTGCTTGGTCTCCTTGTCTAAGACAGTATGTCCTTCATTTATTGGTGAAGAAACCAAGGTATCAGGCTGTTCACAGTTAACAGGAGTTGCACTTCGTCCACTTTCTTCCATTTCTGTTTCTTCAGTGGGTATAATTAATGTTTCATTTGCTTCTTCAGATTTTCCTTCAACAGATTCAACTATTTTAGTCTTTGGAGTTGAAGGGTTAACTACAATAGGTACTAAAGCATATCCTTTGCCTGACAATTCATCATCTGAATTGATTTCACTTACACTACGGCTATCTAATGACTGTACACTAAAGGAGTCTATTCTTTCAAAAGCATCAGATGAGCAACAGCTCTCAGTGAGTTTTTGGAAATCATCTAAACGATTATACTCAGGACAAGCAGATGCTGAGAGAAGCTGAAAAGATGTTTGCATCAAGTGAAGACTTGATTTTGAATCTGTTGTCTCTTGTCTTGAACTTGCTGAGCTCTCGCTTATTACGCTCTCATGATCTAAAACTTCAATATCACTGGTGGTAGAAGTACCTGATGAGAAGGTGCTAACAGGAGGAGAAGGTGTATTACTCTGTCTGTCTTCATGTTTTTGCTCCTTAGGTTCCAAAGGCATGTCCTTTGTTTCTTTTGTGAGAGACTGCGTAGACATATTAGATGTAGACATATTATTAGATATGTTTTCCCTGGTTATTTTCACATTAATTGCACTTTCAGATACTTTCAGAGGCATGACTGACACCTGCATATCAGATTCTTTATTAATAGTTTCTTCATGCCTGCCTTCAGTTTTAGGTGACATACTATCTAATGCCAGACCTTCCCCGGACACACATGGAGAAGGGTCTTTTACTTTTGACTCCGTTGTTTCACTTGTTCTTGACTGCCCAGTGTGCAACGATTCCTGTAAAGTGTTTTTCACTTCTTCTTCTGGCCGTTGTGATTTTGCTGGCGGTTTTGATACCACTGGACTCTTCTGAATGGCCTGAACATCTGCTGGAGACAGAAAGGCACTGAAGAAATTTTCAGATTCATCTACCACAGTTCTCCGAACTGGCTTTGTAATTGCTTTTGGAGAGGCTACTGGTTGACTCTGAGGTTCAGTGATGGACTTTAACCCCCAGGTTGATGTATCCCATCCTCCGCTGACAGGAGGACTTATTCCTTTGACCAAAAAAAAGAAAAGTAAGAAAAAATTACATACATATATTATATTACAATCATTATAGAAGTTAAAATAGATTTTTAAAAAAAGAAAACCTATAGAATAAAACCTATAATTTGCACCTGTTAAATTCCTTGCTTACTAGTTCATGGGTTAACTTTGGGAAAAATGGTGTGGATTTGTCCAAGAGGAACTAGGAGCAAAGACAAAAGACCAGAGTGAGCGGATCTACCAGAAACAAGTATGTTTCTCTCCCACAACAAATTAAGAAAGTAATGGCTTATATTATATCACCTATGCTAAGTGCAAGATTCATACATGATGTATCTCACCATCATAGGCAGTATTATCACTTACAGGTGCCCTGCAGTCATGGAAATTGACCCTACCTTCTATTCAGCTAACTTCATATTAATTTTATTCTTGTATTTTCAACTAGAAAAACATAATTATGAGCTAGACAAAGGGCAAAACTCACAAACTGAACCCAAAATACTGGTGACAAATGTCCTTTCCAAGATCAAAGCAAATTGATGGGAACAGTAACCTCTAGAGGACAAATTCTTTTTTACCCACTTAATGAAAAGCTCATTCTCCAAGTGCCACTCTCCAAACCCACTCGACAAGAAAGTTTTGTTCCCTTCCTAAATTCCAAATGGTGTCAGCAGTTAGAAGCTCATATGAATTTCAGAAATGTGCATTTTTTAAAAGATGTATTGGTTTTTGAAACAGATGGTAGTTTACACTAAGATTTTAAGAAACACTAAGGAGAAATTAACTACTTTCTGGGTAAAACTTTTTTTTTTTTGGTAAAACTTTTTAAAAGGTCATTTTATCAGTCACAGAAATAGATGCTACAAAAAAACCTGATGATAAAAAGAAATGGCATATCCGCTTAAATAAAGCATTTTCTTTAAAAAAAAATCCTGCCTTTTCTAAATTCAAAAGCGAGCAGAATTATCACGAATCATGCACAATTAGAAGTTAGTGCAGAAAGCACAAATACCTAAAAGCTCTTAAAAATGATCAATCCCTATATTAAAGTTTATCCTTCAGTATGACTTCAGAGGTATGTAGAAAACTTTGCTTTGGGGACAGTTTTATACCCATTTGTTCAGTATGTGAAAATGAAAAAAGGAGAAAATCAAAACTAAAGATGCAAAAAAACAAGCATGATTAAGTCTTCAAATTAGTTGATAAAGTCATCATAATGAATGAAGAAGTTAAATTTGCCTCTTGGAGAATGTTTCATATAAATTTCAGTATTATCTGATAACCAGTTCAATTACTCCATTTTAAACTTTGGTAATCTTTGAGTGACATGTAAAACACGTGATCAATAAACATTTATGGTATTTCACTAAAAGTTGAGTCTATTCTGGATACTCTATTTATAAAAAATGAATCATATAGCATGATTCAAGCCCCAGGTTTCATAAAACAAGTACGCTTTTATTTAAAACTTGTCTTCTTTAAAGTTCAGCCATTCAAATGTCAGGTAGGTAGGCATGAAAAAGGAAGTTGAGCTACTCAACCAGGCCATATAACATCTTGTAAAAAATAGTAAGATCATGACAGGACATACACACGTGAACCAATAATCTTTATAGGTACCAAAAACTTAGGTCCTGACTTCAACAATATAAAATTAAAAGCAGAAACCAGAAAGGAGTAGTAGAGAGTAACAATTCTTTTTCACACCCCGAGAAATCTACAGAATCTTTACCACACACACCAAAATGCTAAACTGTTCCTTAAACTTGAACCAAAAGCGACTGAGGATCCCGGAACGACTAAGCTCAACGAATCTCACAAAGAATGATACAGTAATTTGTAAATAAATTGTGATGCAACCCAAAATTGACGGGCCATCGTTTCCACGGGTGACATCGCCAACATATTCTGCCCCTCGCTCGCTGAGTGGCCTAAAGGAAGTTACTTAGCCTTTCTGAGCCTCGTTTTCCTCTTCTGTAAAACATGGATAATAATGAACCTAACCAGGAGCTGTTTTGCAGATGAGAAAGCCATAAAAAAGCACATTTTGCGCCCCCAAGCACGAAGTGCTCACTTAATGTTAGCAATTGTTCTTCCTGTATCTGTTGAGTGACTTTAGATCTTGGCTCCAAACAGTGCCCGAAGCGCGCAGCAATTCCAGCCCTGGACGCGTGTGTTTGCAGCTACGTCCAGGGACGGCGTGAGGACAAGACAAACAAATCCAGTCCCCGTCACCCGAAGCCGGCAGGACCCTCACTCAGGGCCACAGGCAAGGGGGAACCTGGGGCTGGATTCTCCCTCACGGAAAAGGCGAAGACCATCTTACAGACAAAATCGGCGTGCGTGGACGGGCTGGGGAGAAATACCTTCCTCGGAGCGCTCTCAGCGCGGAAGGAACCCCGCCCACACCGTCACCTGTGTGCCACCCAGACAACCGCGCGAGCCCAGGGACCCGGCGCCTCCCCCTCACCCGGCTCTCCGTACGGAATGGTCTCGGCCCAGGCGCTCGGCTCCTCTTCCTGGATGTCCAGGACCCTGTCGATGGACTTCTGGGCCTGGGACAGGGCCTGCTTCGCGAAGCTGGAGAGCTGGGAGGCGTTGAACCAACTCATTTCCCCGCCTCAGGCGGCAGTGCCGCGGCTGCACGGAGAGGGAAGGCCGGGGGCCAGGCCGACCGGCCTCAGGCCCGGGGAGGTGCGGCGGAACAGCCTCGCCCCCTTCTTCAGCCGGCGGGCCCCGTCAGCGAGTGGCCATGACCCCAACGGTCTCCCCCGACCCCGGACGCTTCCCTCAGCACTTCCCGCACAGCTGAGACAGGCGCGAACTGCGCGTGCGCTGGCTCCTTCCACGTACACAACCACCAAATCCGGGAGCCCAGAGTTCCGTCAAGAGACGGAAGAACAGGAGGGGAACGTTGGCGTCACATCCGGGAGCCCAGGATTGCCATTAGTTACCGAGGAACGCGGAACCTTTCCTATTGACACGATTCCCGATGTAGTGCGGGACCTCTCAGCCACCGGCGAAACCAGCCGCCTACAGAGACGGATTCCTCCGGAGGAACGAGTTCGTTCTGTGTGCGTTCCCTTCTAGGAAATAGCTCACGTATAAGAGCTGGAGCCTTGCCAACAGTAATTCAAAGTGAAGCTTGGATCTTGCATTTCTCTTAGCGTTTCTCAAATATTTAACCAGTTCTGCGGTAATTTGAGACTTAAGTCGGAACGCTGGGTTTGTATCTGCCTAAGAATACCAGACAAGGTGTAAAAGACTTGATCCAGCCCACTTGATGGAAGGCGTCTTCCCTGAGTTACAGGTCAGAACAAGCGCCTGGAAGGCATAATCTCCCACTCACAGACGGGTCCCCTCTAGAGTCAGTCAAACCCCGAGAAGCACCAAAACTGTTACTCTGAATCAATGTGTACCAACCCTATTTAATATGCGGCTTTTCGGCATGCGCTCTTCAAACATTTGGCTGTATGAAGAAATCAAATTGGTGGCCTTCCTAATCTAGCCGCTAAATTTGATTTGACTTCAGTAAACTCAAAATTTTGTCAACAACTAAAAACCAAATTTCATACAAAAATCCAGATTTCCAGCTGACTTTGAAAAATAAAGATACCAACAGGGAACAGTCAGCTGGAGTGGTTGCCCCTTTTGACAATTTTCAATCCACAGATCCCATTAATCTTTTTAGATCCTCTAATTACAACTCCCTGATGTGGTTATTTCTACCTTATCTGCTAAGCCCCTTGTGTTTGAGTATTTTATTTTACTGCAAGGAAATATACCATGAAGGAACTGTTTTTCTTTTTTAGAAAAAAATAATTAAACTCTGCCCTTGAGAAGTTGTCCAATAATTTTATATAACTTCAGCAAAATTTTGCATGTTGAAACTCTGACAATTTAGTAATCTATACAAGTACAAGTAGTACCAAATAACTCAGATAACTTCAAATTAGATAAGTAGCCTGAGAAAGAAGTTTGGGACAGACTGAGGTTGCAATCCCTGTTCCAAGACTTCTAGTTGTACAGCTCCGGGTAAATGACTTAAGATTTTCTAAAACCGTTCAGCTCTCAAATGGAGATATTCTCACCTTCTCACAAAGCTACTTTGAGAATTATTACAGCACCTGTATTAAGGTGGTACAAAACACTATTTCCTTTATGTTCAAAAATTTAAACTGACTCTAGCTTTTAAAAAGTAAAACAAATTTATCCCACATGATTCTATAATGAAATGTCAATAAGGAGTTAAAAGAATAATAAATGAAAAATTTAACCCAGTGAAATGTAATCACAACGCTGTCATTCAGAGAGCTGCTAAGTCAAAATCAGAGTGAGAACATATGCTGTGTGTTCCCACTGAGCTAGGAAACTTGTTTTTCAGTACTTAATGCTTCATTTTACTTTTTGCTTTGGTCTTTTATAGGGAGAAAAAGGCATTTTAAGAGACCTTAATATAAAATGTAGTTATTAATAATAATTAGTAGTTAATATGAAAATATAGTTATTCCATTTCATTACACTATTAGGTAATTAATAAATCAGTATTAAATTAAATTAAATCAAGTCAGTAGATATTTGTTGTGGCAAAAGTATTAATTTAGGTGCTGTAAATATTTTTGGATTAGTAATTCTGCTGTATGTTTAAAAATTATTCCTACTACAGAACTACTTACTATCCTTAATATACATTTTCAGTGAGAGAAGTAGACAATATATGATTTTATTAATAAATAGTGTGAAAGCATCAGTGATAACTGTTTAAACATTAAATTCTTTTAAACATCCATGTTTTGGCTGTAATGTGCATATTGGCCTCTATGGCACTGCAAGTAAACACATGAAAATAGTTCCCATTTCCATGCACAGGTATTCAGCTATTACACCTTTTACAAATTATTATGGACCAGGTAACCTTTGCAATAATTAATATTATTTGGACAGCCACAATTAAATGAATATTAAAACGAGAAGTAGGTTATGTTCAATGTCAAGCTATGTCCTATGCTCTAGATGTAGGTTGTAATATTTAATGTAATTTAAAACTTAATTTTCTTATTTTTTTTAAGAGGACATGTTTTGTATATGTGGGTGCTCAAGTGAAAACCAAGGAATGCATTCTTTGACCATATTTAACAAAATTTTGACCACACACAAAAGGATGTTTGCTCCCTCCTATAAAAGATGCAGTGTACTTGCTCATAAGCTCTCTCTCCAGGCATCATTTCCCATGCCATTAATGAAAATGCTTACAAGCACCAGCCCCAGAATTCTGTCTTCAAGGAAAAGTTATAAAGCTAAAAAAGAGTGGCTCATTGTATTTAAGAAAAAGTCAAATTCCAGCAACACTAATGCTAAAAAGGACATCGATTGGATTTCTTAACTTCCACGAAGTATAGTATTTCCATGAGTTTTCTATTATGTGCAGATTTCTTTTCCTTAAGAAGTAAAATGAAGTTTGAACAGTACAGTCTGTGGTGTGGTCACATCAGCAACTGCCAGTTCTTGCCCATCAACAAGTCCCAACTCTAAGATGAAAAAAAGCACAATTAACCAAAGCAAAAAAACTGTACAGAAGGGATAAGAATACATACTTTCTATACAAACCACAGAGTATTATGGTCTAGATAAACATCAAAATGCAGTTCTATTTAACCAAGGCAATGTTACTTATTCCTTTTGAGATTTTCTTAATGTTCTGCTGAAAGAGCAATTAATTCTATTATTATTTCTAAGGATATATTATTATGACAATATCATTATTTAAAGGCATTAAGAGGAAATCTAGAATAAACATTTATTACTTTTACCGAAAAAAAAAAAATAAACTGATTACTAAATATACTCATTTAAAATACCTTTCAATGTCTTGGAGAGATTTGGCCTTGTTCGTTCTTCAATAGAGGTTACTGACTAGAAAACAAAATTATTTTAATATAAAGCACATTAAATAAAAATTGTAATAGATTTTTCAAAGAAAATGGACACTGAACACTGATCACCTGTAAGTAAAGTGTTCTATTTTTTCCCTCTAACGTTGCTGTGATAGCTGGAGATTTCATCTGCCTAAATATAATTATGACAAAGAAAAATCAAAGATCACTTTTTAAAAAATAATTCTAGTTTTTAAAGTTTTAAAAATCACAAAAATTATTTCTACAACAGAACACTTACAGAGAAGCACTATTGGTTAGATAATCCAAAACCTCCTGCAATTTAGCTGATGGAGAAAACTGAATATTTTGAGGAAGCTGGCTACAAGCTGGGCAGTTTTCCTACACATACAAGACACAACAAATCACAGTGCTGCACACAGCAATACTAATTTCTTTATAACAATGAAATGAAAATCAAGTCGTTTTACAGTCATGCATATTCCCTATGAACACATTTTTATGTTTTAAAACCTACTTTTCAAAACAGACCACTTTTCCTAAATTTTTTGCTCCATAGTATTTATTTCAGGTTATAACTACAAAAGATGTATATAGCAAGTAGGGTGGTTCTGAACATTAAAAACACTTAGTGTGTTGGCAATTTTGTTCATATTTTTAACCACTCAAGATCTGAAAATCAAAGTATGCATGATCAAAAAGTTTCCGTTAGTATAATACTACCAACCTTTCTCTCTGCTTCAAACGTGTATGTGTACAGTCCATCTACATCATTGAATACCAAGTAATTATTAAGGGGAATATATGCACTGTAATGAAAAAACATTCATCTTTATATAGTTGATCCAGGTCAAAACATAAATTCATATACATATTAAAAATGAAACCCATTACCTTGTGGCTATTTTAAAAACCTCAGTGGCACACACGGCTGAAAAAAGAAAAGGTGCTTTAACTAAATGAAAATTAGACATTTAAGATTAGAAGATTTTTAAAAGTCAGTTATAAAACAGAAGAGGTAAAAATACAAGGCTATATTGATTTAAAAATATATATACAACAGATAAAAACAAACCTGCAATTATGAAATAATATAAATCATAAAAAATTTTTATATTTTTAAAAGAAAAATACATAGATAATATAGTCATTTTAAAAGACAGAAAATAACAAATCTTGTATTTGTTTTGTATAATCCAAGTGATAGAGTAATGTTACGTTTTACTTCCTCTTCAGATTAGTGAGCAGCCTATTGTACTGATTTTAAAAAATGGTATTAAAATGTTTACTGCACAGTTTATGACAGAATCTACAACAAAATATATACAAGATCCAATAGCCTGTTCTTTGTGGACAGCTTAATTACACCACCCACTGAGGAAGGTATTAAATTCCTAGAACATGAGTTTTCTGCCATCAAGAGCTGCAGCAAAGTCAGTTTAGATATTGAATCAAACTCTGAAGGAAAGAAAACAGAATGAAGCAGTATTGTTTTTCTCACCTGCAATGACTGCATTTGTAGAAGCTACTGCAGGAATGATTCGTTTTACAACCCCTGAAAAAATAACTTTTATTAAAATATGATCATTTCTTTAAAAAAAATAGAATAGTTATCTAAAATTAAGCAGTATGATTATTTAATACCATTTTCCACAACTTGATTTTTCAGGCTTTCAAGTCAGAAAACAGGCTTAACTCTAACCATGAAATAATCTTTCATATTCCCATCATTTTGTAGCACATTCAAAACCTTGAACAAGTTACAGTAGCACAGAAAACTCTTTACTAAGTTTCATATAAAGGTAAGACAATAATAGCTAACAATTAGTGTTTACTGTGTTATTAGTATGAAGATTAAATAAGAGTTTTCATAATACCCTTATGTTAGCTTTTACTCTGATTTTAAAGGAAAATGAAAAGTAGCATTCACAGCTATACACCTATATAGAGATATATACAGTAAGTGATAGGGGTGGTATTATGAACCCAAATCTGTTCCAAACTGCATGATCTTAACTGATACATTATATATGCTACACTCTATAAGGTTTAAGTATGAACAGTTAATAGTTACCTCATTTTTACTCATATAATAGTTTCACCATCTGATTCACAAAAATTTACAACTAAAAATTGCTCCTGATCATCTCTGCTTCACTCCACAACTTGGACTACATAAAATATTAAATACAGTTCTCCATTTCTACCCTAGTTTTTTCATACCAGCACTCATGGATTAGGAATGAACAAAGCCCCACCTTAAACCGTTTTTTTGTAAATACAAATATTCCATAAAATCTTATCTGAATTTTTCTTTTTAAAACACAAAAAACTTTAGAGAAAAGTGGCCATGTTATCTTGGAGTGTGAGGGATCACTGAAAGATATGTTCCCAAGACTTCAGGTGTAGGCAGGTTTCAAAAACTTCAGAAAAAAAGGTAAATATCTAAGAAGACATGAAAGAAAGACAGTTAAGAAGTTTGGCAAGTTTTTTAAGAAGTTGATTCTGACCATATGATTACATATAATCTCAGAGAAGGGGAAATCGGGAGGGACTCATGTCATGATGGTTAAACTGGAAGCACTCCATGGAACCACGTACAGCAGGATGTCCTCAAAAGACGAACAGGCAGGCAGAGAGGAGTATAAGAAGACACAGTGCCCCATAAGGAGATTGCTGAGATGATAAGGACTTTCCCCATCTCCCTGAAAAAAGCTAGACTTCACTTCCAATTTTGCTTCTGGACTCCTTCTCAAGGCTGAAGAGTACACACCAAGCCTGCTAAAAGGTATGGAAGACTGAATGAGACTACATATTGAAATTAATTTGTAGTTCCTCATCAGGACAAACTGAATTCATTTATTATTTCAAACAATTACCAAATGGGCACTTTATGCCACACACTGTTCTAAGTGCTGTGCAGAGTAGCGGTGAGAAAAAATTACCTTGCTTCCAATTTTGGTAGGGGAAATAACATGTTAGTAAAGACAGAAGAAAATTCCAGATATTGAAGAGTTCTATGAAGAAAGTAAAGCAAGGTATGTGTTAAGAGTTGACAGTGGTAGAGGCAACCCAATAGACTGGATGGTCAGAAAAGACCCCCCTAGGGAGGTGATAACTTGAGCAGAAACCTAATGCATGAGAAACACACAGTTGGGGAAAGAGCATTTCTGTAAACAGCAAGGGGAGAGGCTCAGAGCAAGGACGTAAGAGTGTTAAGTATGAAACATTCTTTGCACAGAAAAACGAGGCTAGCATTATTTCTGAGCAATTATGAAACAGTACAATAGTGAATGGCTCAGAGGTCATTTTCAACTGAATGATCAGGAAAACTGGTTAAATTGATACTTGAGGGATAACCAGTCAGCTTTCAGGGGATCCAAGAGGAGCATTCCAGGTATAAGGATCAGAATATTAAAGCTCTAATGTGGGAATAATTTGGTGTGTTCATGGAACACAAATCAGGTCAGAATAGGTGGAGCACAGGCAGTAAGGGGTGTGTAAGAATGGAATTTTCAAATGACATTTTTAGAACATCCATAAATATAAGGAAATAATCACAGAAGAGAAATGGCAGATTTTCAAAAAGAAGACAGTACTCTTTGTGGTGAATTTGGTGATGATCTTGGACAAAATTCTAGAAAGGATGAACTGTGAGTACCTAGATTAGGAAACACTAATCACTAAGATTGAGCACTACAACTGTTCACGAAGGCAAGTCATGTCGGGCTCATTTAGTTATTATGACCAGCTTGGCTCTGCAGGACAACACGAATAACAGTATACCCAGGCTTCAGTAGAGTATTTTAGTGGACAGTAACTTCAAAGAATCAAAAGTATGGTAGCAATGTAAACAAGCAGACAAAACAAAACAAACACCCCTACTCCACTCTAACTTGCAACAATTATCATGTTTATTATAAGCTGTTTTAAGACAAATCCTTGAATGCTGCATTCTAGCCTAGGCAGTTGAGAAGTGTGGATAACTGGAATATGGTTAGAAAACAACATGGTGGGAACTTAAAGTCATGCAAACAAGTCAACGGTTTAAAGGAACTAGGAAGGTTGATGGCAGTGATAAAAACGAGGAGAGAATGTAATCACTGCTCTCCACATGTTAAGGACTATTAAAAGGTAGTTAGATTTTACATGGCACACCCTGGGACAATACTCAAACCAAACTAAAGAGATTTCTGCTCAATATACAGAATAATCATCTTAATCCAAGTGTGAAAGAAATTGTCCCAGGAGGTGATAAATTCACCTTGAGTGAAAAGAGAAAATGAATGGCTCGACTTGTAAAACTTGAGGCCTCTTCCAATGCTAAGTAAATAAGATTCAATGATTTATAGTAAGTTCCTCCTAGCTAACAAGTAGTTTGGATTCTGTTGAACTCAGTTTCCTCTTATCAAATTTGGGGCACCTGGAAACTATTTCCATGGTACCTTTACTGAACCCCAAATGGATGGTGCAATCCAAAATCACTTATCCATTATATCCTTCAAAGCATCCCCAGCCGAAGAAAAGAATCTCCCATGATCATAACTCGTGGCAGTTGACTAACTTACCTTGAGTGAGTCTATACGTAACACCCCTAATATTATATTGTGATGCTCGCTCTAGGGATTTTTGGAAAATCCATTGAATATGATCAGGATCATCTCCATCTAATGGAATGCCTTCTGTTAGAGGGAAAAAAAGGAGAGGAAGGCAGAAACATGCAAACATAAATTAACTTCTTTTAAAGTAATTACCCAAATAAATAATATAAGTGAATACATATTTTATGTAATTCTGGATTATGAAATTAGGTTTATTACCTCCAAAAGGCTGTTCCTTAGGCCACTGCAATATCCTTACATACTCAATACAGTGTTCTGGTAGCCTGGGCATAGATGCAATGGTGCACATGGGAAAATTAACCTAAAACCAGAATTTGCCTTTTTTAAATGGATTTTAAACTATCAAATATTTAAAGATGAAGTTTCTAGGTATGATATAGTTTGTAACAGTTTCTTACAATTCATCTTAGCCTTCACTTACAGAAACAAAACATTTTAAACTATAAATAACACAAAACTAACAGAGAACACCTGAGTCACCTCAGGTTGATCTACCTATAAAAATAGGTTTTCCCTACATTTATACTGTATATAAATTTACTTTTTAGACCATGAGAAGAAAAGTGCAGAATAAATTCCTAAATATGACATTTTGTTGTTGACCTGGTATTTAAATTTGAAGGTATAAAACAAACCAGAACAATAGCAAAAAAAAAAAAAATTCACCGAGTTAAATCTATTCCAAGTAAATACTCATAAAGTTACTTATATTTATAAAGCAAAATTCCAACTGCCTGTTAAAGGATGTAGGTACATTAAAGAGAACCATCTTTGGAAGGAGCCTTCTCACCCCTGGTATCTTTATTTCCCTAAAACAATCACTAGCAGAAAGAAAAAAGATAATAGCTCCATCCCAGTAGATAACTTTGTAATTAATCCTTAACCCCCTACCCTCCAAAGAAAAAAAAATTAATACAAATAAATGATGAGAACAGAAGAGTTATCAATATTATGATATTCCATCTCTATCTTTCCTCATATTTATGATCCTTCTTCTTAGCATAATTTCTAGAAGATAGTTACTCCTAATTAAAAATCCAAAATACTTACTAGACATAGTAATTCAATGCTAAGCTTACTCCAAGATCCTACAGGACAAATGCATACATTATTTGATTACCTGTGGTGGATACAGTTCCAGTGTGCACTCAATACAAGCAGTCATTCCAGGCAGAATCACCCGAGCATTTCCTTTAAAACCTTCTGTCCCTCCATCTATCAAAGGGACAATGGAGCTTGGATCTAATACGCCATCTTCATAATTCAGAAGAGATATCTAGGAAAATTAGTGGAGGATTTTAAAAGGAGAGGGAGTAATTCCAAGAGGAGCATGCTGTCAAATAATTCTACAAGTTAATCACACGACTGAATACTAATATATCAAATCAAGGGATTACAATATTAGCAATTAATATCCCACCTAAAATTATTGACTGGAAATAAATAATGAAGTATATCTATTTAAATGAAAAATTAACTTGATTTTTTCAAAAATATGATATGGAATTCTATTTTACTGTATGTTAAGAGCAGCAGCAAGAACTTCAGAGGCCCATAACAACACTGAAGTCCTTACCAGCATGCCATTTATCCATCTTCTGGCTATGATAGAGTCTAGTCCACATACAATTATATGAAATTCTACAAGAAAAAAAAATGCAAGTTTAGTTTTTAGAAATACCATCACAAAATAATTCACTTTCTACAAAAGAGCAAAAAAGATACCCACGTTTTACTGCAATACATAGACACACACAGATATAACCTTTGAGCTATCCTTACACAGCAGCATATAAAAATGCAGCTAATGATGTCAACTAAGAATTCAAACAATGGCATTCTCTTTTCAATCACGTTACTGTAAAGCCACAAGGAAGAGATAAAAGCAAATGAACAAACAGCCTTCCAAATAGCTAGTCAGCAAGTAAAATACAGAATTTAGTGAGGATTTAATTTCAAGAAGACAACTTACGTCGATAGAAAGTATCATTAAAATCCTGAATCTTGTTGAAATGTCTAAATGTAAGTAAAGGAACTTAAGCTGCTTAATTTTTAATTTGCAAAATGAATTTAACAATGCCATAAGGTAGAAATCATAATATTTAAAATACCATCAATGTTCTCAACAGTGGAATTCAAGGAATCTGACAAAATGAACACAACCCTACTTCTGACAAAACCTTTCTAAACACTCCTCCCCTAACCACTTAGTTTCTCTCATCCCTGAACCCACAGATCATATTTATGTCTGTTATGCTTTCTACTCTGCTTCAGTTTTTATATAAAACCATAAACGCTGGGAAAGCAGAATGTGTCTTTGCTTGGTCCTCAACCATCCGCACCAAGCAAAGGGCAATAAACCTTTTAAGAGAATGGAACAAGCATATTAAAGTTCCCATTTAGCTAGGTGACTCTTAAGACTTACTGCACAAGTTGAGAATAGTACACCTTAAATTTATGCAATGTTGCATGTCAAATATACTTCATTGAAAAAAAAGTTACTGCAAAGCTAATTAACAAAAACAACACAGATGGTTGCAATAGCTTTTCCAGGTGATTATGGTTAATGTTTTTTGGGGGAGTAATACTTTAATTTCTGTTCATTTAACTCAGTTTTCAAATCTCTTTTTACCCAACTAAACCCTATGGCAGTCTTCCCCTGCCTGTAGGCTGTAAAGGGAACCCCATTCAGAATTGGCTGTGGTGTTAATCAGTCACAGCACTTAACATTTTTAGCAGCATGTGTGTGCAGAAAGAAATTTTTTTAAACAATTTTTCTGAAGGAGCAATTTTTTATGTTTAATAACTTATTATCAACTTATTTATCTAAATTTACAACAAATAATCCATTTATATATTTTTAAAAAGCAGAGAGGAGAAAAGAAATACAATATATAATATGCTTGCCTTGGATTTTTTGTTCTGGCCTACATAAAGCTATGCAATTCAATTTTTTTTTTCAATTCATAATATATTCAACTCCAGCCCTCACTCTCTATTCTATAGCTTATGCTTACTGCTAGAACAGGGAGATCAAAAGAGACCCAGCGCAAACACTGGAGAAACAACAATAGGGGACCCAGGAGTCAGACCAAGAAAGAACCCATCTCCTGGATTTCTATAAAATACTCAAGTTTCACAGATCTCAGTAATGGGGATATACTCCTTTTCATTTTTCTTTCTCTCTATAGGAACCTATATTTGCATTAAGATTTTTTTTATTTCAAAAAATATACATGCACAGGAAGTTGCAAAGACAGTGCAGAGATGCTGTGTGTCCTTTACCCAGTTCCCCTCAATGGTTACATCTTATTTATTGTACAGTATCAAATCCACCAATGTGACATTGATGAAATGTGTGCATTAGTCCTGTCATTTAGGTACATGTATAGATTTGTTTAACCACCGCCATAAAGATACACTATTCCATCACCAAAGACTTTCCTCCTGTTACCCCTTTATCCTCACATATATCTCCCCAACCATGCCTAAGAATTCCTGACAGTCAACCACTAACTTGTTCCCCATCTCTGTAATTCTGTCATTTAAAGAATGTTATATAAATAGAATCATACAATATAAGACCTTTTGAGATTGGCATTTTTCATGCAGCATAATGCCCTTGATACCCATCCAAGCTGGTGCATGTTTCATGAGTTCCTTTTTTTGCTCAGGTTATTACGGTATGGCTGCACCACAGTTTAACAATTTACCTATTGACAGATGTTTGGGTTGTGCCATTTTTGGCACTGGAAATAAAACTGCTATGAACATTCAAGAACAAGTTTTTATGCAGACATAAGTATTGATTTCTCTGGGGTAAATTCCCAGGAATGAAACTGTTGAGTCATATGGAAAGAACATGCTCAGATTTTTAAGGAACAGCCTATTTTCCAGATGGCTATGCTAGTTTACATTTCCTACCGGCATTGCATGAGTGATCCAGTTATTCTGTATCTTTGCCAATATTTGACAGTGTCACTATTTTTCATTTTAGCTATTCTAAGTGTGTAGTAGTATTTCATTGTGACCATAGTTTGGATTTCTCCAAAAGATTTCATGTGCTTTCTGCCATCTTTAGTGAAATGTCTCTACATTTTTTTGCCCATCTTCTAATTGCATTGTTTTGTTACTGTTGAGTTTTGAGAGTTCTTTATATAATCTAGATAGGAGTCCTTTGTCAGATACCTACCTCATGAGTATTTCCCAGTATGTAGCTAATATTCTCACCCTCTTAACAGGGCCCTTCACAAAGCAAAAGTTTGTAATTTTGATGCAGTTCAATTTATCATTTTTTTTCTTTTACAGGTCATGCTTTTGATGTGGTCTATAAGGACTCTTCACCAAGCCCAGATCCTGAGGACTTTTTCTTGACTCCTTTGGAAGTTACCTTCCAAAGTTTTACATTTTACACTTAAAACCTTTAATACATTTTAAGTTAACTTGTGTAACTTTAAGGTTTAGGTTGAGGCTCATTTTTTTTATTATGGATATCCAATGGCTCCCCCAAAATTTGTGGAAGACTTTGTTCAATTATTTTTGCACCTCTGTTAAATATCAACTGGCCACACGTGTATGTGGCTATTTCTGTTTTCTCTATTCTGTTCTACTGATCTATGTCTCTTTGGCAACACTACAATCTTGATTATTGTAGCTACATACTAAGTCTTGAAATTAGACAGTGATTCCTCCCACTTTATTCTTTCTCAGAATTTTTTTAGGTGTTCATCTGCCCATCTGTATAAACTTTAAAATAGTCTTGCCTGTATCAACAAAAAATTTAGCAGGGATTCTGATAGCAATTGTGTTAAACTTGTATACAAATTTGGGGAGATGGGATATCTTCAGTATGTTGAGTCATCTAATTCTTGAACACAGACTACCTTGCATAAACTTACTGGCACTCCTTTCATTTGGCTATAATTTGTTAACTATCTATTTGCTACAATTAGGAGACACAAAGATTAACTAGATCCAGCCTACAAATTAGTAGTGCAGATATGCAACTGAAACTCAAATTAAGGGCAATAATACAAAATCAACAATAGAACTGGCTACATAAGATTAATTTTAAAATTAGGGCAAAAAAAATTTACATAACCTTAAAGAATGGAAGGAACATAAAGCAAAATATTATCAGAAGATACCTCAGTAAAAAGCTTACTGCTGCTGCTGCTTTATTTTTCTTTTTGCTTATCTGTACTTTCTGTGGTAAACATCTCTTTTATAATAAAGAAAAAAATAAAAGCTTTAAAGTAACTTTTTTGTCAAAAGGATACGGAACCACATTGCAATCAGGAACTCTGTCATTTAGAAATTCTGCGGCAACTTCAGCCTTAGGTCTTCCAACATCTTTAGGCCTACAGGAAAAATTACATTTAAATTATCATTCATGATATAAATGTAGATGACCTACAATACTTTATGTTCAAACATAAAAATAACCATGGCGAGTTTATTTAAAGGTTATTTAGAAGGAACATTTTTACCTAAGTATTTTTGATGAATAATTTAGTCATTCAACACTAAATATCAACCCATGATGTTAAATATTTAGCATCAACCCATGATGCATGTTAAATATTTACAAGTCTAATTATTTCTTAAGTGAAAATATGAACAGTGTGTTGCTCCCACCCCTGGTTCCCACTCTGGTCCCAGGCCCTGTAAAGCATAATGGCATGTTTCCTGGGGATTTGTCATTGCAGCACTTCCCAATGTAAAAAGTTATCCAAGACCTGAGCTTTCCAAGTATCTTTTCCAGGACCTTAGCTGAAATATACACAAGTCATTCTAGGGATACAAAACCTTCATTTATCCCCTTCTTCCCGTATGTATTGATTAAGTAGTAAATTTTGTGTTCCATAAGAAGCTGTAACCATGTTTTTGAAGAAGGAATAATTTCACAGGCATTATCTAAAATTGTAAAATATTACCAATATTTTTAAGAAGTTAAAAATGGAAGTCCTCAAAAAGTCATTCTTAGATAACCACCATAGCTATAGATAGGAAAAGACTTGAATTTTCTCATATCAAATGGCTATTTTCTGTCCTAGTATTTCCTCATTCTCCTCACAGAAATAAATTGCTCCCTCGTAAGTGCTTCATTACTCCTTTTTCACACATATTTTTGGTTATATACATAGGTCTATCATACCCAGTGGACTACGAACACCTGGAAGACAATGACTTTATTCTTATCTCTTTGTATTCCTTCATATCTAAGCACAGAGTAAACATTTTTAAATAAATGAAAATTTAAAAAATCAGTGTGCTTAAGAGAAATATTTTCCTTTAAAATTGGAATTTTAAAGAAAAAATTTTAACAGCTCAGTTTTCTTTTCTCCAATAAAGCAGTGTGATTTTATACAAATTAGTAGTGCAGATATGCAACTGAAACTCAAATTAAGGGCAATAATACAAAATCAACAATAGAACTGGCTACATAAGATTAATTTTAAAATTAGGGCAAAAAAAATTTACATAACCTTAAAGAATGGAAGGAACATAAAGCAAAATATTATCAGAAGATACCTCAGTAAAAAGCTTACTGCTGCTGCTGCTTTATTTTTCTTTTTGCTTATCTGTACTTTCTGTGGTAAACATCTCTTTTATAATAAAGAAAAAAATAAAAGCTTTAAAGTAACTTTTTTGTCAAAAGGATACGGAACCACATTGCAATCAGGAACTCTGTCATTTAGAAATTCTGCGGCAACTTCAGCCTTAGGTCTTCCAACATCTTTAGGCCTACAGGAAAAATTACATTTAAATTATCATTCATGATATAAATGTAGATGACCTACAATACTTTATGTTCAAACATAAAAATAACCATGGCGAGTTTATTTAAAGGTTATTTAGAAGGAACATTTTTACCTAAGTATTTTTGATGAATAATTTAGTCATTCAACACTAAATATCAACCCATGATGTTAAATATTTAGCATCAACCCATGATGCATGTTAAATATTTACAAGTCTAATTATTTCTTAAGTGAAAATATGAACAGTGTGTTGCTCCCACCCCTGGTTCCCACTCTGGTCCCAGGCCCTGTAAAGCATAATGGCATGTTTCCTGGGGATTTGTCATTGCAGCACTTCCCAATGTAAAAAGTTATCCAAGACCTGAGCTTTCCAAGTATCTTTTCCAGGACCTTAGCTGAAATATACACAAGTCATTCTAGGGATACAAAACCTTCATTTATCCCCTTCTTCCCGTATGTATTGATTAAGTAGTAAATTTTGTGTTCCATAAGAAGCTGTAACCATGTTTTTGAAGAAGGAATAATTTCACAGGCATTATCTAAAATTGTAAAATATTACCAATATTTTTAAGAAGTTAAAAATGGAAGTCCTCAAAAAGTCATTCTTAGATAACCACCATAGCTATAGATAGGAAAAGACTTGAATTTTCTCATATCAAATGGCTATTTTCTGTCCTAGTATTTCCTCATTCTCCTCACAGAAATAAATTGCTCCCTCGTAAGTGCTTCATTACTCCTTTTTCACACATATTTTTGGTTATATACATAGGTCTATCATACCCAGTGGACTACGAACACCTGGAAGACAATGACTTTATTCTTATCTCTTTGTATTCCTTCATATCTAAGCACAGAGTAAACATTTTTAAATAAATGAAAATTTAAAAAATCAGTGTGCTTAAGAGAAATATTTTCCTTTAAAATTGGAATTTTAAAGAAAAAATTTTAACAGCTCAGTTTTCTTTTCTCCAATAAAGCAGTGTGATTTTTTTATTCAATACTTTTGATAAGAGTTTTATTCTTTGTCCTAACTTGCAATGGAAAGGCTCTAGCATAAGTCAAGGAATGAGATTTCAGCATCGCACTCAACTATTCTGGACAGAGCTCTTTAGGTATGTAAAGGGGATAAAGAAGACTTTTCAAGATTCTCTTAAGCTGTGAATTGTGTGTGCTTTCACAGTAGACCCCAAATAAAAGAACCTGCAGTTGGTTTCTGTGGGGACTAATTTACCATTCCAGGATCAGACTGTTCATCAGATTGTCTCACCTACAATACTGCACTTTGAATAACATGGTCTCACACACGTCCCCTTGCCAGGATACCTCAGCCTAACATTTAACCCTGAAAACAGGTACTTACACTGAGGGTTGCTCTGAGATTAAATGAGGTACTATAAAGAGTTAGAAAGTTCTTAATATATCCTGAGCACTGAACAAATATTAACTGTCATTATGATCTTCAATCATTATTTTAGCCACAAATTAATTGAAACGTCATGGCCTATTATCCATAACCAGTCAATTCAGTGCTGTTTTTTTTAAAGCATTCACACAGTGCAGTTTGGTTAGACTGCAAAGGACCCATGAACTTTTCCATAGAAAATGGAATTTTCAAGGGTTAAAAAATAAAGAAGCTTAGAAGTTAAATGTAAAGTTCCACTGTAATTACAATACTTAATTAACTTGACTTAATTTACTCCATCCTTCAATCTCTTTAATATCTTCTGTGAAGATAAAGTAGAGGGTATATGCCTGGCAAAAACTTAATTTTATGTTTTCTACAAGCCTAACCTTATCTTGCATACTTAAGATTATTTGAGCACTTTGTCAGTATTCTAATCTACTAAAGAGAGAAAAAAAGTCCTTATATTTCCATATCTGATTCTTTGACAAGCAACCAGACACTTTCATGTAAGCCACTCAAACCCCTAAATGCTCATACTAAACTTCAGATGACCCTTTCCTCAGATCCGCATCTATGGCCTTACTTCCAGCCTTTACCATCATTCCCAGGAAACCATTCCTAGATGCTGTCTGTATTTCATGTGTGTCTAAGGTAATTATCCTTCTTTGTTCCATTTCAATTGCTCTGTTTTCTCTCCTTAATTCTTCACTTTGTTTCTCCTTCTATGATAAGCTCAAACTGTCAGAACTTCACTGCCCCAGAGTCACCACTCAAATCTTGATTCCTAAGTCCCCATTAGTATACCTTACTAGGGCCTAATAGCTCCTGTTCTCTTATGAGATAAACTGAAGGAAAAGAGCAGCATTCCATGTCTTCAGGTCACAGTCACCCCAAAAATCACATAAGCCTTTTGGAAATTCCGTTAAAAAAAAAAAATCAAAAAACGTATTTTTGCTCAGAAAACTACTTTCACCAGAGTACCCAAAACTTTCTTGCAAAATTTTACCTAAAAAGGGAGTGGTATTTATTTCTTAAATAAATTAGTGTTATCCTCACAGTAGATTTTAAAAATTATTAAGCTGCAGTTTACTCAAGTTCAAATGATTATCAAAATTTTAAACTAAGATATTAAAACTTACCTAAATAAAAACTGCCTATTTAGATTGGAAACATCTATAGTGTCCATGTCTATAACATGAATTTGTCTAAAACCAGACAATGCCTGTGGGAATAAAAAAAATCCAATTAAGCAGAAGTTTCCTTACATGTGAAATTTTAAGACTTGTTTTCAATGGCATCATAAGTCTACATATGCTCAATAATAAATTCTGCATAATTGTATAATTAAAGAGCCTTACAAGGTGTTAAAATTCAGGGTTCTTGTAAAGGTCAAAAATCCGTTACTCAGTTTTAAACAGTCTATAGCCAAAAGGGAGCAACTTGAAATTTCTATAGTTGTTTAGAATCCCATAAGCTCATTTGTAATGTTTGGTGCTTTGCTGATGCTGCCAGACTGTTTTACTTTTCTTACTATTTAATAACTATATGTTATTGTTTCTCAGAATATTGTTAAAAGCAAGTCCTACAAGCTTTATCTTAGTTTACGTAACATTAAGCATGCCACAAATCAGAAACAATTATTACAAGATACATATTATAAACATACACATGTATATGTACATACACAAGGATTATCTTCAAACTGCACATACACAAGGATTATCTTTAAAGTACTAAATCAAGAACAAGCAATAAAAAAAAAAAAAATAAAAATAAAAAAAAAACACCACACTTGTGTTTCAGTGATAATGCCATATATTCTAACAGTATAACCACTGTTCAAATTTACCAGCAGAAGCAAAGACTGAAAAAGTAAGTTTCAGTAATTAATTATGCTTTTCTGGTCTTGGTCAGTTTACTTAAGTCAACAAATTAAGGCCCCTGTCAATAGTTTCCCCATTTTTGTACCCCTCCTTAAGGCAAGAGATCCTCAAAAGAACTGTCTGTATTTGCCTTCTCTAAGTCCTGTCTTGTGCTTATTCTAAACCAACTTTCCCTGTCAGCACTCCACGGAAACAGCGCTTGTCAGGGTCACCAGCGCCTCCATGTAGCTTCTCCAGTGACCATTCCCAGTTTCTCTGACCTTACCCACCTGAAGTATCGGGCACGGTGTGGATCAATTCCTCCTCCTGAAAATATATTCTAACCTTAGTCATCACACTCACGAGAAATTTGAACACTTTTTAAAAATTGGCTTCTGGTCCACCACACTCAGGAAGGAGTTTCACCCCTGCTTTACTGGCCAGAATTTGGAGCGCCCTCGTGCTGGCTTAGGTCTGGTGCTCCCAATCTTAGACAAAGCCTGATCTGACAGACATCTCAAACTGAACAATTCCCAACACCAAACTCAATCATCCTTGCTTACCAACACCACCAACTGTTCTTTTCCCAGTCTCCTCGTTTCAGTAAATGCTACCTCCATCTCTCTCTTTCCAGTTGCTAAGCAAAAACCTTGTTGTGTCATCCTTGACTCCTACAACCAATCCATTAGCAAATTCTGCTGGCTCCATCTTCAAAACATATCCAGAATCTGACTGCCTCCCACCGCCTCCAACGTCATTGTCATCTCCTGCCTAGATGACTGCAACAACCTTCTAACTAGCCTCTCAGTTTCCTCCTCTGGTCTTCCTCAGCTCCTTTCTCAGTACATCAACCACAGAGATCCAGGTTAAAAGCCAGATCAAGTGAACTCACCCACTTAATTCCCTGCAGTGACTTCCTGACTTGGAATAAAAGGTAAAGGTCTTACAGGAGCCTCTAAAGCCTTTGTGACAATCACTCCGAGCTCCTCCATCTTCCATCGCCTTTCTGATATCCTCTTGGAAAATGCTCCCCTTATCCATCTCTGCTTGAGCTATAATGATCTCCTTGTCCTGGATCGTGTCAAGCTCCCACTTCACGGCTTTTGCACCTGCTAAGTGACTGATCCTCAGATCTTATCTCCAATTACTTGACATGTAAAATTAGTATATATCACGTTTTCAAATAACAACTTCAAAATGGACAAATCTAAGCACTGGGGGATTTCTACATACAATGCCTACGAAAACCACTGCCCATCCCCCTTAGTCGTTCTCCTGTAGAACTCTTTGGCACTGCAAGAGTATTTATGTCTGATAAGGTACTATCGTTTTGGTTCCCCATGTCACACATACTGCTCTTTATTCTGTGTGAGACGTGTCTCCTCAACGAGACTTCTAATTTATTAAGGGCATAGTACCGTGATGACCTACAATACCCACAGAACCCAGCACAGCACTGAGTACCACAGAGCTTCTTAAGTTTTTGCAGTTTCACTAGGAGTGACTTCAGCATTTCCTGGCAAAATTAACGTAGCTGTTTATATTTAAAGTTTAGCTCCATAGCCGACTTTTTGGGCCCTTCATTCGGCCCTTACCTGCCTCATTTTCAAAGGAGTCCACTCTAGCATTTCCACCTTTCTACACACCAATAAGAAGGCTAGTATACCACAGCTCTGAATCAATTCTTTCCCTACCCATTTTTGTTAAACTGATAGCCTTGTAAAAAAACTACTTCATTATCAAAAATCAATGAAACTAATTAAATAACAAATTATGGATTTTCAACCAGTACATGGAAATAGCTTCACTAAACCCACCCTCTCTTAAGTCTCAGTAAAAACTAACAAAAACATTTAGCTCCAATTTTATGGGTCTCTACCACAAGGGCATCAAAGATTACTGTCAAATTAGGTCATCTAATGACCTAATGGTTCAGTGAACATAGCACTTGACTATGAATTAGTGACCTGTATTAGAGTCCAGGCATGATCACTATAATTCAGAAAGACTTGGGCAAGTCATCTAACTTCTCTGAACTTCAGTATCCCCCCTATAAGAAATGAGACAATGTCCTATCCATCTAACTGGGCTGTTCTGAGAAACATATGAAATAATAAATTCTTCAAAATTTCACATTAAAATATGAAATTAATGAGTGCTTTACAAAAGGAAGCACAAAGATTTGTTTGATAAAAAGCAGAGAAGAAAACAGAAGAATGTCCACCAATGACTTTATAGTCGAGGACTTCAGAATTTAAAAGGTTCATCTTCACTTTAATCATGGTCTGGAATTTGACCTGCTAACTTTAACAAACAAAAGCTCAGGAGAAAAAGTTAACAATCATAATGAATAAACTCCCTTATATGACAGAAAAGGAAAAAGGTTTAATTGTCACCAAGAAGAAAAATACATATTTAATATATATATATATACACAGACACACACACACACATATATGTATATATTACCAGATTTTTCAGGAGCTCACATCCTAGGCCGCCAGCTCCAATCACTAGAACTTTACATGTATCTAACAAAAACTGGAGAGACTGTAAAGAACGAAAAGGCTTATTAAAATATGGTTGATAAAAAATATAAGTAACCATCAATAAAGCAACAAGGCATAGTTTCTGATGCTTCCATGAAAAATTAAATTGAGGATAAGAGATTCTGTATTTAATAAATTATTTTAAATTTAGGAACAAGATAGAACCAGAAATTCTATAACCTGAATGATTTCAGGGAGTCAATTTTAGTGTTTTTAAATTCACTTTTATTATATGGAATTAAAGGGCTATTTCTAACAAGAAAAACTATGCCTACTTAAAAGTTAACTAATTTTTTTTAACTTTGAAAGGGGACAGAAATCATCAAATTCAGTTATTTAACTTCCTAAAGACAGAAAAATGTAAATATCTTTAGAACAGAGAAGCAAGCCCCGCACAAGATGGTTAAAGGTCTTAAAAAAGGTAAAAACAGCAATAGCTGCTTTCAAATACAGTGAGTGAAACTCACAAAACGTGGTATGACAGAATAGATAAAACTCTTAGAAAAACGCATATGAGCAGAAATACAATTTAAAACAATCAAAACAGAAGTATCTTAAATAATCAAGCCAAAAAAAAAAATATTGAGAAGCACAAGAAATACAGAATACTATCAATTCTGTCCAAGATTAAAAGAGAGAAAATTTATCCAGATGAGACACTGAGTCAAATCCAAGAGTCTGCACCTTAATTTTAGGAGTAGTATTTCTATTTTGAAACATCTCTTTACAAATACAAAAGGATATAAAAATGTACTACAAAGAGTACTTTTTACTAACTCGAAATAAAAAAGAGGTCATATCTAATTGAATGGTTAAGTAAGACACTACCAGTCCAAAATTCTATTCCTCTATTAAAAAGCAGTCACATAATTTTTAACATGCAATTAATTATATTCAATTCTAAGTAAAGATGCTCATTTCAACAAAAATTCAAAATTTAAACAAGCACATCTATATTCCTATCAAAACTAATTTCTCACAGCAAGGCTAAAAATGGAGTGTTTCTCAGAAGTCACTGCAAACTAGAATTTTAAGTGAAGTATAACTTAGAATTTTAAATGAGGTTATGAAGTTATTTTCCTCTTGAAAAAGTTCAACATAGTACATGAGAAATGTAAAAATGGCTCAAATATTAGTCATTCAAATAAAATCGACTGCAAGTATCAATTTAGTATTTCAAGATAACTTACACAGCTGTATTAGTATTTTTATTATAAGAGCAAATTAAAAAGGAAGAATTTTATTATTTTTGAAACATAAAACTATTAGAGGAGTTACTTAAAAATAAATGTTTCTCACTTCAGTGCTTGGTTCGAAATCAGGGTGTGTGAAGGGTCCAGATCGCTCGAGGAACTTCTTTACATGGTTCCAGCGACCTTCCCAGTCTCCAGTGTCCCCACACCCACCATCAACAGCCATTCTGCACAGAACACAGTAAATTCAACTGCAAAGATCAATATGAAAGAGCCACCCCTACAACGATTATGGTTTCCCCAAATGAAAAGGTAACCACACGAGATGCTCAAATAAAATGGGAAATATTCATAATGTGATTATGCTTATGCTTTTAATTTCATTCTCTTGCCTCTTGTATAGTTTGAAGTTAAAAACTGCATGTGTTTGATGAAATCAGTCAGTCTACATGTTTCTGGGTTCCTATAGCAACTCAAGATAAAATTTGGAAATACTGGTCAATTGGTTAGAAAGAGGGTTTCCTACATTTGGAATTTACAAAATATCACTGCAATCTTCCCCATCTGTTCTATCAACACACTTGGATCAGGAAATATCAGTTACAGGAAGAAAAAAACAAAAAGCTCCACTTTCAGAACTGGCTGTTTCAAATCTCAATACAGCTCATGAGTCCAAGATTGAAAGGTGTGAAAGATTATTTTTGATGAGAGGAACTTTCACACATTTTCTCTGAGAGGTCCCAATTTCCAAAAAACAGAATCTCTTAATGCTGTGAGGTGGTTTTTGTTGCCACTAAACAAAGTTTTAGGTTACAAAACCACACATAGGAATTATCATTTAGAAATCTTTTACACAACTGAATAAGGAGGGATACCTCTAACAAAAATGCAACTTCTACTCAGTTCAAGATTCATGTTTGGTTGTGATTATTTTTAATTTCAAATTTCCTTTAACTCCACAATTTCTACCTCCCGATACATTAGTAACATCCACTTTTCACAAAAGAGACAAGGAAGCTTTTGATGTCACAGCTGGGTTGCTTCCACAATTAACACTGGGACCTTGAGCAGATTACTCAATAGTCATAAACCTCATGTGCAGGTTGAATATGGCTACTTCTAAAGTCAGTTTGAGGATTAAGAGATAATCCAGAGACCTTAGCATACTACTTTGCATATAGTTAAGTTTTCAAACTTTAACTGTTATTTTGAGCAAAAGAGGGAAGGAAATCAGATGGGAAGGAATGTGAAATGAAGCTTGTCACTGCAGTCCTCTTGCAATTTAAACTTTCTGAGGGAGATCTCTGACTCTAAAGCACTGCTACTGGGAATTGGCAGAGAAATTACTAACGCACCACACCCACTGCTTGAGAACTGTCTTCCCCTCCTTCGCAGACAGGAGGAAAAAGTATGTGGCATTAGCCAGGTCGGAAAACACTGTTTTAAATCTGTCACCCCACAAAACTAAGCATCTGATAAATCGCGTGTGTAATAATGAGGTAAATAAGCTCTTCAGAGTCAACACTCTCCTTTAAGAGCCAATGCAAAAATGACTGAAGTGCTTAGTACAGTATCTGATAAAGTTCTCATAAATAGTTTACAATTAATGCCGAAAGGCCAAAATCGGCCCAGTGTCCGTTTCGTGTGTGTAGGATTCCCTTTTCACAAGGTCGCGGCTCTGACAATTTGGAATGGAGGAGGGGGCGCCAGGGTCCTTCGGCAAGACCGTCAGGTCAAGCACCACCTGCCGTGTGGACCGCGGGCCCGGCGCGCGCCGAGAGACCGGGAGCGGCCCGCCGGGCCCCTGGGGCTGCGGCACGGGGGTCGGGGGATGAGGCCGCGCGGCCTGCGCTCCGGGTGCCCCCCTCCCAGCCCCCCGGGCCCGCTGCGGCTGGTCCCCTACGCCTGGGGTCGGGGAGGCGGGGGTCCCCGGAGAGAGCCCCGGCCTCCCGGCAGCACTAACTTCTCAGCCAGCAGCTCCTCTATTCTCCTTCTTTTCTTCTCCCTAAAAGAAAGAGAGAATAAAAGAAGGGTCAGCATCACGCTACACATTGGGCACCGCGAGGGGATGGGGGGCGAGGGACGGGGCGGGAGGCAGTGGGGGACCTCAGGTGACGGCGGCGACCGCCCACGGCCGCGCGCTCCCACCACCAGCCCGGCCCGGCGCGTCTGGGGACCGACTACTTACGGCTCCTCGCCATCCGCCATATTGTTCTCCGCCTCTTCCCAGGTGCCCCCACTGCGGGCGGGGCGAGGGGGCAGGGAGAGGGCGGGGCGAGGGGCAGGACCGGCGGGGTGGGGCGGGGCGAGACTCCCGTGGGCTTTACAGCCTGCCCTTGTCATTACAATCTCGATTAACTACACTTAGGTAAATTTTATATAGGGTATAATGTTATGCTGCGTGAAAATACAGACGTAATACATTATATGTTTATGCAATTTTTATGTCCGTAAATAACCATAGAAAATGGTGTATTCTATGGAAAAAGTCTTTGGAACAGCAACCCCAATATGCCAGAGATCCCCTCTGAGGCAAACCGTTACTTTCTACTTTTCAGCACGGTCCCAACATCTTTGCATAAAGGTATGCACTTTAAGGACATCATTTATCTGAATCAGTTTGTAGCGATTGGATGGGGAGATTGTTATTGTTTTCCTTTGTGACTGTCAATACAAAAATTTTAGTGTCAGATAACAAATTCAGTGGTATTGGAACTAAACTGAAAGATGCTTTTTTTCCTGGTGAAAAAATGTATATTAGAAGAAAATCACATAGAAAAACACAAAAATTAAAGAATAACTTAGAACATCCATAGTTTCATCATCTATAGACATAAATAAATTATGATAAAATTTTGGACCATTTTCTTCCAGAGTCAGAAATAAATAGATGGATGTGTGTGGTTCTGTGTGTGTGTGTGGATGACTGGATACAGAAATGTAACCATGCTCAAAATATGTATACATATATTTCATTCTTGGAATGAGACAAGACTGAAATTTAGAGTCAGAACAGTTTAAATCCTGACCTTTCCACTTAATAGCTACTTTAGGCACTTGCACACTTCTGTGTCTTCATTTGTAAAATATTTACCTCATAAAACTTTTTGAGAAGTAAATGAAATACACGGCAGTTCTCAAAACATAGTCCCTGATCAGCCTTACTAGCATCACTCAGGGAACTTGTTACAAATGCATATTGTCAAAGCCCTGGATGAGTCTGCAAAATAAAGCTTAAGAACCACTAAAATGGAGTACATTAAGCCTGATAGGTCATAAATGTAGTAGCTGTTAATAAATTATTATGTTTCATCTCCTCTTTGTCCTTTATTATTATCCCCCAGTCAGGCTTACTCCAATAGCATTCACTGAGTTGAAAGTCAGGACCAGGAGTCAGTAAACGGTGTTATAGGGTTCACAGTCCACAGTCTGTAGCAGAAGACACTATCTACTTTTCCAGGTCACATGTCTCAATGTCAACGCAGAAACCTTTTCTTGCCCAGACTACTCCACATATGGAAATTGCTGAGGTTAAATCCTTGCTTTTCAAAACAGGCTTATGTGGGCTGGCCCCTCAGCAATGCTACTTTCATAACTTTTGATTAGTGACAGTGAGCAATCACAGCCTCCTCGGATGGTGAAAACCAACAGGCATTCTACCCATTTCACAGCGAGAAAACTGAGGTGTAGGGACAGGCTGCTGCTGGGTGAAGAAGAGGTCTGCAAAGGCGCCTGGCCTTGCACCTGCATCTGGGACTAACATGCTGACTCACTGTGGTGGTACTTTGACAGATGCCGCCAGCACTCCCACTGGTCAGACCGACCAATTAGAAATACCCAGTAATGAAAGTAAAAGAGATGTGCAAGTGAAACCTGCAACAGATTTCATTTCAAATAGAATATATCATGAACTATTAGCCTATCCACTATGGTTTATATACAGACAGATAAACATTCAAGGTGGACCTATCTAGAAACACAGATCTGGATATAAGAGTCCCAGGAAGGCCTCTACATTAAATAAATGGAGACAAAGAGCTGCTACTAATAGCATTTCAAACAGTACCTGAAATACAGTAAGGATACCATGCATCCTCCTTTTTTTTTTCATTTAAAATGATTTTTATGAGAAAGGTAGAAATGTGTAGTGAAAAAAAAAAATCTCCCGTAATCCAACCAGAGAAAGCATGGTTAACATTTTTGGAGAAATGGATAAGCGGATCATGCTACTTACAGCTATATATGGCTTTTTCATTTCCTTCTTTATTTTTAAACCTCTCTGAGGTTTAAACAAAAACCCACTGAGCAAATGTTTACTGGACATCTATTGCTTATGATCAATGAGTAATCATATTATAACTAACACTCAACATCTTGTGGTCAGGCAGTACTGAGCAACTGAAAGGTAAAAGTTCTTGGTCACAGCTCCTAACATTCACTGATCTCTCCAACAGCTGTGAGGGCCTACTAGGGCTCCTGTGCTGGTCATGACTAGATCATTTACTCAGGTTACTCACAAGTGCTGGTTGTGCCCAAGGTCATCTACTCAGCTCGCCCACAGTGCTGCTTCTTGAAATTCTTAAGCCCCAGAGAATTCTTCCACACCCACTGACTTCCTGTAACTGAGCACCAAGGCCTGGCACATCTCTATCTAGCACTCCTCTCACTATCTTGTATTTAAGTTAGCGTTTCCATTGCTTTGCAAGATCTTGAAGGTAGGAAAGGCTGGATTCTTCTCACCTTTTGTATCTCCCACAATGCTTTCACAGATCCTTGAAAGAACTCAAAATATCGGTTGGTGTCATACTGAAAATTTTCAACTCTTTTTTCCTATATCAACTCTACCCAGATACAACCACAACAGTGAAAATGTAACAAGTCAGAGAAAAGTCAGTGGATGTTCATTATAGAAGCACAGAAAACAAATCAGGTTACAGCACTATTAATGCCAGACAGATGAATAGTGGCCTGTACTATTACTAATAACAGTAACAGTAATATCTGTGAAATAAATAAAAGTGGATCACAATACTAGGGACAACCAGAAAGATTTCTAAGGCCTAAGTACTGAGCATTTCATTAACTTTGGGAGTGTCAAAATGGCCACCCATGAAAAACTTAAAAAAACCATCTGTTAATTAAGTTGAAGACTAAACAACTGACATCCACATTCCTGTTAAAGAATAAACACCTTTCCCCTTAATATCTTTCAGTGCCAGGTGTCTGCCAAGGATGGGTATTGCTCCCTCTCTTTTCCTTGCATAACATCTTATGTAAATGAAACGTACTCCTTTGAAGTTCTGTCTTTCTCACCTGTCTCTTGGCAGATATAAAACCTTTGTATGACTTGGGCTTTTTGGAACATATTTCCTACCCTACTGTGCTAGGAGTTGTATCTTCCTGGGCAAAGGTCAAATTTTGGCTCAAGTAAAACTCTATTTTCAAGGTGATTTGAATGAATTTTTCATTGATGTATTTGTAAGCAATTACTGTACAAGAAGCACTGCTACCCATTCTTTCATTTATCTTCACCTACATGGCAGATGTTCTTACTATACCCACTTTACACATGAAGAAACTGGGGCTGAAGTAGACTAAGTAATTTTTCCAAACTCACCTACCAGAAATGAAGGAGCTAGGTCTCCAATTTTACTTTCTCTGACTTTAAACCTTCCCATTTTTCTAAAGCAAGAAAATATGAGAACTCAGGAATTTTTCACTTTTTCCATTTTATTCAAAAGTATAATCTAGGCTATATCTTAATACTGATTTGATTCAGTCATCAAACTTTATCCTAAACACCAGTGGCTGGAGTAATTTCTTGGAGTCATTGTTAGGTCCTTAGTTGCTTCCTGAATCATCAGGGAAAATCAAAGTATGTCTAGACTTTGCATTAGGTACATTTTACTGCTTTCCAATTTTTCAAAACTGATGGTCTGAGGAGAGTGAATTCGGTTTTTAAAAAAACAGCAACACTTGCAGGGGTAGAGATTGTTATTTTAGGCACTAGAGTCTTAGAAATCTGCCTACCAAACTGTGCAATTAACAAAATAGTTTTTTCTCATGCCTTTGAGATAAAAGGAGGCTTACTGTACCAACCAGCCCCTTAACTGAAAAAGATGACCTCTTGGAACCTTTAGAAGGAAATTTGCAACTACTACATCTCTTGGAAGTTCTTTTGAGCTGGTATATAAAACAATCACCGTATCTATTAAAATCCTGGGCTCCCTTAGTGAAAATTGTTCCCAAATATTCACTTAATGCTAAGAAAGCTCTTTTGGACTGGAATCCATGTTTCTGCCCAGAAAATACTGGGTGCAGAACAATTCGTTCACTGTAGACCATTTTGCTTTCAAATGTAAAGAACATTCCACCTCAAGGCTGAAGTAATGAGAGTGCCCGCTTTATCAGAATGGCACAGTAGTTCAATAATTTTGCCTCGAAATAATACAGATGGAGAACAAAAAGTGAAACAAACCTGCACCCCCGTTCTACGCGTTCTTCTTTCCCATTTTGCCAATCTGATTTCACTCATAGTGACTCACAGCGAGACACAGAAAACACAAGAATTGCATTCAGATGTGCAGAGGTTCTTAACTACTTAGTGGTCAACACCAGCTCATCCCTCAGTAACACTACACTAGCCTTCCATTCCATTTAATTTGGACTGGCATCTGAACAGCTGCAAAAAAATTTACTGAAAGTCCAGAACGCATTCCTAAATTAAACACTCAACAGGGTTATTTCAAAGGAGGCTGATTGTATTCGAACTGCTAAGGAAGGCATTCCCCTCTTCGCTTCAGATTTCCGCTAGTTTCTTTCTGTCATTTCATCTCTATTTTGCACTCTGCGTTTTGCTTTATCGTGAGGCCCCAGTTTTACTGTAACAAACCACTTCCAGCCAATGAGAAAGTAAAGAAGAGAAAAAACGCCCGCCCGCTCCCAATTTCCTTGGCTCCGTTGCTTGCTAACCTCAGAGCCAACCGAGCTAGAGCCCCTGTCACCTCTAACCGAGCTCAGCTGATCGGTTGCCACTGCCGCCGCCGCCAGATTCCAGAGGCAAAGAACAAGAAGCTCTGGAGACTAGACATGGACGTGAGTATCGCCCCGCTCCGCGCTTGGGACGATTTCTTCCCGGGCTCTGACCGCTTCTCCCGGCCGGACTTCAGGGACATCTCCAAATGGAACAACCGCGTGGTGAGCAACCTGCTCTATTACCAGACCAACTACCTGGTGGTGGCTGCCATGATGATTTCCGTTGTGGGGTAAGTGGGGTCCCTCTTGGGCACTGATCGCGGGCAGCACCGAGGGGGCTCAGAGTACCAGATCCTAGGATGCGGAAACGCCCCCCCACACCCGGCGCGGGTCTTGGCAACTGCAAGAGGTCAAGCCGGTGTAAACTTGTTCTCAGGGCGAGGCTGCAGCAATCTGGGGGAGGGGGGGTCCCCTTTCCCTTTCCGCACCTCGGGCTGACACGACAGCGAGTCCCGAGATTTTGCCAACCTCGGACAGGAAAAATTACGTTTTTGTTTTTGTTTTTTTTTCTGTACCCCGATTAGGCTCTTGTTGGGAAAGATATTTCCAGTACTCAGTCTTTTAAAAATAATAAGAGGGAAATGGTGTAACCCTATCCTGGGGCTGGATGGCACGGGCACCGCCCTGGAAGGCTTGGGCGACAGGGTGTGGATCTGTACTCCGCCTTCCGAGAATGTGAATGCAAAAAAGGCCCCTGTGAGGCGACGCACTTTGTCGGTTTCTCCGCCGAAGGCCTGCAACTCCGTATGGGAAAGCTGAGCTTGGGAGCCAAAGGGCGGATGTTCTCTGGTGGCACGGCTCCCAGAATGGGGCGAAAGCTGCCCTGACTCTAGGAATAGGGTCCTCTTGCTTTTTCTTCCAGGAACTGCCAGGCGTGGCCACTTTCTCTATTTTTCCTTCCCAGCCTATGGTCTCAGTTTATAAGGGCCTTTTCAATACCTGATGTGAACATAAAACGTGTCCTGTGTTACACGATTTCCCCCACACACATACACCTGCTCTGCTAGAAGCTGCCTTTTCCCGTGGTTCACCCTTTAAGAAATGCTTCTTTCACTTTTGCAGGATGGGGTGCTAATATTCTAGATCTTGCGGCGTCTATGCATCTTTAAAGAAAATGCCACACTCAGACTTTATAAAGGAATTTCGTTTCCATTAGAAAAGTGTCTGACATTCTATTTTAGAGCAAAGACAGGGAAAGAGCAAGTTGGCCTGGGAGAAAGAGGTGGGCAAAAAAAGAAAAAGAAGACAAAGACGGTGTGGGAAAGGGCACAAGGGTGGCTTCTGAAATTGGGCTGCTGTTCATTGGCTTATTTATTGAGCCCTTTCTCTGTGCCAAAGCTCAGAACTCACCAAGCACAGTCAGACATGAATTCTGGCCCAAGGGTGTGTGACAGTTGTTGAGGAGCCATAGGACAAAGTACACAGCACAGAGGAAAGACAGTTCACAATTTCTGGGTGTGGTTCGGAGTAGTTGCTCCCATGCAAGACTGGACACTCTAGGATTTGGTAGACAATCTCAGATTCTCATTATGCGGTGCTTAAGGAACCACAAACTCTTTGGAAATGGCTTGGTGTGCTTAGGGCAAAAGCCCTGGGCCAACTCTGAATTACAGTTGCAGCCAAGTCAAAGTTAGTTGGGGTAGGACAGGCCTGGGGCCTGAGGCAGCTGCCTTCTGAACCTTCCCCTACCTTTATGCTTAAGGTTCATTTCCCAGAACATAAAAAATTTCTTTAAAACAAAATAAAGAGTAAAGTAGGGTTGCATCTTTTGTTATACTTTTTCTTTTCTCTCTGTTAGTAGAGAAGTAAGCCAGCCATCTTCTCTGGTGATCTAGGTACGGGATTTTTTTGAAGCAACACCAAAAATCCAGCTAGGGGACAAGGTTTGACATAAACTGATAATATGTACAGAAAAACAAAACAAAACACTGCTTTTCAAAGAGGTATGTATACTGCCCAGACCAGACACAAGCTCAGGCGGTTTGGGATGGTGGCTCTTCCCAGTCCCCTTTTCAAATAGATGTTGGTTGGCAGTGAAATTTTTTGAAGGTGAAAGTGAAAAACAGCTTTTTTTTTTTTTTTTACTATTCTTCTTTTTAAAAAGTATGATATAGACCAGTAATAAATTGTTTTAATAATTACTTTTAAAATATGGGATTTCTATTGTACCAGAATAAAAATTTGATGTATGACCTTCAACAGTTTTCTATGCATCTAAAATTTTACAGTCTGTAATTCTCCCCACAAATTACTCTCTTCTTTCTTTACAAACTAATAATAAAAACAAACATTCATCAAGTGGTCTGTGTACCAGGTAATTTGCTAAGTTATTTACCTGCATTATCTCATACAACCCCAAGAGATGGGATGCTACTATTATTGTTATTATTATTATTATTATACCAAGGTTCAGAGAGGTTAAATGACTTGTTCAAAGTCACAGACCCAGATTTGTGCTCTTAACTACTATGCCACCTTCTTATTAATCATGAGGGTTAGAATTATAGTCTCTTAAAGGTGGAAGAAACCATATATCTTCAAGGTCAGGGAGCTTAGCTGATTCCGGAGCATTGTTCTAAAGAGAACTCTCCTCCTTTGTTGTTGTCAGCAGATGTATGGTTCGGACTGGTGTTGGAGTTTACCTGGGTCCAGTACTGGCATCTGATAGTTTCTCATGATATCCTGGTAGAGTATGTGAGAAAACGTGACCTGGGTGTCTACTGAGGAAAGGACTGTACTTAAAGGGTGTTCTTCAGTGGTTCTTCCTGCTGCCGTGAGGAGGGGCCTCCAGGGCAGAGCTAGGGGCTCTTGCCTTAACTCTAATTGTTTCCGTGTTGAAAACTGGCTTAGGTGAGGACAGAGAGCCTGCTCTTAAAGACTGCAGGAAGGGAGAAGAAAAGCCAGGTGGGTATCATCTAGCTCCAAAAACACTAGGAAGGGCTGCATATGCCTAAATGGAGATTAGGAGGGGTTAGGATAGAGATAAATCTGTGTATGAGGGCCTGATGAGGCAGCACCTGGCAATCCATGATCAGAAGTTTGGTCTTCATCCTAAAAGCTTGGCTTACTAGATGTGTGACTTACACAAGGTAGGTCTACTCTGCATCTTAACTCTGAGTAAATCTTGTAGCTGATAGCCTTGTTGAAGACAGTTGCCATGTTTTCTGGCTCTAAAAGTAATAAAGGGCAGAAGTTAAGAGTTTAGGCACCACAGCCATATTAAGTAACTTTGAGTCCCAAGTGCCAGTCACTTGCTGTGTGACCTTGGGCAAATCACTTGAACCACCCTGTGCCTCAGCCTCTTCGCCTGTTAAGGGAGGCTAATTATAGTAGCCACCTCAGAGGGCTTCTGCGAGGATTATCTGAGTTAATACAGGCAAGGCTTTTAGAGCAGTGTCCAGCTCCTTGTTTTTGCTCCACAAATGTTACTTATTATTTTTACCAGTGTTGGTGTTATCATAGGGATTACTGAGAAACATTGGCAGTATCCTTATTGCAGCAGCTCCATCCCCCCAAACTCCAGTCCACGACCTCCCCACGTACTCCTGCTCCACCTATAAAACCCAGCTCTAGTACCATCTCTGAGGAAATTCTCCCTTTGTCCCTCATTCCCTACACCTATGCCTCTAACCTGGCACTTACCCCACAGGCTTTCGTGTTGTCTGTTCACTTGTCTCCACCCTGGACTATAGACTCCTTGAGGCCAGAGACTGTGGGTTTTGTTTGAGATTATTTTTTTCTTGTTGTTGTGGTTATCATTATTTTTATACTCTGTATCCCTGCGGCCTACTATATAGCAGATGCTTACGTGGGGAGCACAAAGAGTAAATAAATGAACCTAAGGCATCGTCACGGGGGAAACTTTAACCTACTTAAAGGAACATTATTTTGAAGCGCACAGCAGCAATCCAGCACATAACAACAGGCTCCTGCGGTGATTCTAACTGGGCCATTGTGGAGGGCACTTGCTACATATTGCTTAGGATTACTATAGTGTAAAAATTCAAGTTAGAAAGGGTTATAATTCAAATTCTTCACTAATGCATAGTGCCCTTCGAGAACTTCGGTGAAGTATTTCCCTGTGACGTTTCTCAACCCGGGCACTATTGACATTCAGGGTTGTGTAATTCTTTGTTGCAGGGGGCTGTCCTGTGGACTGTAAGGGGTTTAGCGCCATCCTGGCTGTCTACCCACAGAATGCCAAAAGCACCCACCCCTTCAGTTGTGACAATCAAAAATGTCTCCCGACCTTGACAGATGTTCCCTGGGGGTCAAAATCACCTCAAATTGAGAACCACAGCTCTAGGGACAAGAAAATCATGATAATTCCTCACCTCGCCTTGTTAAATACAAGCTGGTTTATAACAAGTTACAAAAACAGAGTTCTTGGCTATTACAGAGCAAAGTGGTTTGATGTTTAGCTCCTGGTTCCTGACTTTTCAAACATAAGAATGGAGTAGATTTGAAGCTTTCCATGGCTTCGATCATTATTCTAAATTTAAAAAATTTGTTACATTTTCATTCTTTTCTTAATCTGCCTGGAAGACTCAACCATTCAGACATTCAGACTTTATATTTTTTGGCAGATTTCTGGCATTTGCTTTTATTTGCTTTCTGCTCAAAAGTTCACTTGCTCCGGAGTTTCTCTGCTAGAAAATAGGCATTAAATTACTTAATTCATATAAAGCACATTAAGGCCCAGCAAATGCTAACAATTCAACATTAGCTGCTGTTATTTATTAAAACCTAGGTTACAGGCATATTAAAGTTCTCTCAACTTGTGTATTCTCTTAGGCACAAGTATTAGACGATGGTACCCTTTAGTGGTTTTGTCATAATTGCAACTTGGGTGTCTTATAAAACTTTCCTTCTCTTGAAGACTTGAGCTCCCTTTTCAGATTCAGGCATCATCTCAGAAAGAGACTGAATAACTTGAAAGGAATAGAATGAATAACAACCTGGGGAATGTGTATTTTGCTCAAAGTGGCTCTGTGTCCTTTAAATGAGGAAGGAAAAATGTCTAGGATTGACAAGGGCATGACTCACCTTCTCATCCTTGATGTGAGATATCTCAGCACTAGATACTCTTCTCACATCACCCTAGCCACAGAAGTCTCTGCCCCCGTTTCCAAAGTGAAAGTGAAGGCAACGCCTAATTAAAATGGCACTTGCAATTTTAGGACTAAGCATGTGATACATCATGGTCATGGATGGAAACTTCGGTGTCATT